GGCATTTCAAAGCACATCAAATATTGTTAAAAGGAAGATGAATAACCCTTAATGAACAAGAATCATCAATATCTTCAATATTTCTTGTGCATCGAGAACTGCAAAATTTTTAAATACGTATTCTTATGAAAAGTTGGCGTTGTGAAAAGCCCTCACATAATTTTTACCACGTTTTACCACATTCTCACCCTGTAATTTCTCATTTATTTTATTTTTTGGATTCTGTCTTTGTTTTACCTGCTTTCTGGAACTGTTCTTCGCTGGACTCGGATGTCGTCGCTGTGGTTATCACCTCTCTGCATCACATGGTGAGCCACTGGACAAACTGGTAACAGCGGGAAAGCCGTCCATACGAAGGTAAGCAGTCAGCTGGTGAGCCATACCGACCCGTAGCATTTATTTTAAAAACGAAATACATCCATACGTATTTCTGGCTACATAATTTGCAGTCTCCAGAGAGGAGATTTACTGTTTATGTTGAGATTAGGCTTACGGTTTGGTTTGCGCACTTCTACATGATTGTTATCTAATTATTTCCCTCTGATTTTGGGAATAATTCACACTTATGGTTGGGTTTAGGGGTAGGAAATAAGTATGGATTATATTTTCGAACAAAAATGATGTTCCAGGATCAACATAGATGTTAGTCCAGGATTGCATCGTACTTGGCAAAATCATAACGTATGTCTAAATAAGAAAATGTATAGGTGTTTCCTAGCACCTGGGGGTTAACAAGTTTGTGTACTCTCAGACAGTGCTGAGTTGCGGCTGGAAAGGCATAAGCCAGAGTAATTGGTGCGATTCCGCTGTGGTGACTCCTGATAAATCAAGAACTAAGCCAAAGGAAAATGAGTGAGTGAATATTGGTCATGACACTTTCATGAAGCATGTTAAGTATTTTAAAAGGAAGATGATTACCACTTAATGAACAAGGATCATACCTGAATATTTCTTGTGCATCGAGAACTGCAAAAATTTGTTGTTGTTGTGAAAAGCCCTCACCTGATTTTTACCACGTTTCTCACCCTGTTATTTACTTGCTTATTTTATTTTTTTGGATTTTGTTTTTGTTTTACCTGCTTTTTGGAATCCTTCTTCTCCAGACTCAAACCCCGTCGTTATGCTCATCACCTCTCTGCACCTCAAGGCCACGGACGTGCATGGCGAGCTAACTGGACAAACTTGCAACAGCGAGAAAGCCGTCCATATGGAGGTAAGCGTGATACTGCCACGTAACATTCCTTTTAAAAACTAAATACAGCCATACTTACTTTTGGCTACATAATTCACAATCTCTAGAAGCGTATATAGGGCTACATTTTCAGAATGAGCCTATGTTGCATGTCATATGGATCACCTACAGTAGTCAACATTTGAAGTGGATCAAAATTGTTTTTCAAGCTTGTCTTAAAACTAGAACAAACTCATTCTTGACATTTTTGAAAACCTTTTTGATCCACTTCAAATGTTGACTATTGTATAACAAACCATACTTTAACCCTACTGAGTGTTAATCAAAGTAAGCATAACACTGAAGCATCCTTGACCTTTAACCGTGTTTTTACAATTGAGCTTTAGTAAAAAATGGTTTTATGACACCACACCTGAACTTAGAAAAAGCAAACTACGCCTATGTCAGAGAAATTGTCCATATGGAGATAAATATGTGATGTGGATTTGTGGATTTACATGCTCATCGTTGAAGTGTTTTGAGGTTCTTATTTGTACTAACAACTGCACCAAAAAAAGGTTTATTAATTTACAACACAGGTGTCAAAACTCTGCACAGTTTAGTTCAAACACTAATTAAAAACACCTGATCAAACTAATTGAGTCCTTCAGGCTTGTTTGAAACTTATAGGTACAGTAAGTGTGTTGAAGCAGGGTTGGAACTAAACTGTGTCAGGCTGCAGCCCTCCAAGAACTCCAGGAAGTTTGACACCCCTGATTTACAACGCATAATCTTCTCCTGTAATCATAATTAGTGATAAAAATAACAATGTATATTATTAATGTTCAGAAACTACAGTGAAATGTTTGTACAAATACATTTTTGATGTTTTGCAGATTCATATAACCAGAATTACATATCTCCAGACAACACTGATTGGCCAAGCAAGCATGTTTGAGTTTTCATTTATAATATCTGATGTGCTCCTATGTGCATATATCATTATTCGGATGTGGAAATCAAAAAAATTGCACAGATTGATATGAGGATCATATGAGGAGCCACGGTTTATAGTTTTATATTGCCTGTATACACTTTATTATGTACACCTTACTAGTACCGGGTTGTACCCCCTTTTGCCTTCAGAACTGCCTTAATCCTTTGTGGTATAGATTCAACAAGGTACTGGAAATATTCCTCAGAGATTTTGTTCTATATTGCCATGAGAGAATCATGCAGCTGCTGCAGATTTGTCGGCTGCACATCCACGATGTGAATCTTTCATTCCACCACATGCCAAAGGTGCTTTATTGGATTGAGAAATAACGACTGTGGAGGCCATTTGAGTACAGTGAACCCATTGTCATGTTCAAGAAACCAGTCTGAGATTATTCATGCTTTATGACATGGTGCGTTATCCTGCTGGAAGTAGCCATCAGAAGATGAGTACACTGTGGTCATAAAGGGATGGACATGGTCAGCAACAATACTCAGGTAGGCTGTGACCTTGACACGATGCTCAGTTGGTACTAATGGGCCCAAGGTGTAACAAGAAAATATGCCCCTACCCTGTTTCACCACCACCACAAGCCTGAACCGTTGATACAAGGCAGGATGGATCCATGCTTTTATGTTGTTGACGTCAAATTCTGACCCTACCATCCGAATGTCGCAACAGAAATCGAGACTCATCTGACCAGGCGACGTTTTTCCAATGTTCTATCGTCCAATTTTGGTGAGCCTGTGTGAATTGTAGCCTCAATTTCCTATTCTCAGCTGACAGGAGTGGCACCCGGTCTGGTCTTCTGCTGCTGTATCCTATCCGCCTCAAGGTTGGACGTGTTGTGCGTTCAGAAATGCTCTTCTGCACACTTCGCTTGTAACGAGTATTTATTTGAGTCACTGTTGCCTTTCTATCAGCTCTTTCTATCTGGCTATTCTTCTCTGACTTCTGGCATCTACAAGGCATTAGCGCCCACAAAACTGCCGCTCACTGGATAATTTCTCTTTTTCTGACCATTCCTTGTAAATCCTAGAGATGGTTGTGCGTGAAAATGCCAGTAGATCAGCAGTTTCTGAAATACTCAGACCAGCCCGCCTGGCACCAACAAATATGCAACATTCAGTCACTTAAATCACCTTTCTTCTTTATTCTGATGCTCGATTTAAACTGCTGCAGATCATCTTGAACATGTCGACATGCCTTAATGCATCGAGTTCCAGCCATATGATTGGCTGATTAGAAATTTGTGTTATCAAGCAGTTGGACAGGTGTACCTAATAAAGTGGCCGGTGACTGGAAGGGTTTTTTTTTACTCTCAAAATGCCATTAATCAATTTTAAATCCAAAGATGCAAATTTAACTTATGCAGAAAACCTCAATATCGCATAAATCTCACCTCACACAAAGACCTCACACCTCACACGGAGACACGACTATGACTGATCCTCCAGCAGTGCGAGAGCTAAAACTAAAACAGTGTGATGAAAAGAGAGAAGGAGAGGGGCTTTAGAAAAACTGATAATAGCGACAGGGAGCTGCTGATAGAGATATAAATGATCGTGAAAGTGGGATGATAGGGATAAAGTAAGGTGAGAGCTAAAGTGTGTGGGGGAGGTTGTCAGTAGCAATGTGTCTATCACTGCTAATGAGCTCTGAAGGCTAAAGAAACAGAGACACTGACAACAGACTTGAAAACACAACTAAACTGTCTTTCACCCTACACACTGTCATTCCCTCTCCCTCCGTCAGGCTTTCTTGTCCTTTTCTCCTCCCTCTGCCTCTTTTAACACAAACACAGATGAATACGAAGAGGATTTTCTTTTTTGTGAGTTATGTAATGAACATCTCATTCTCTTTTAATTGATATAAGGGTAAAGATGCCTAAGCAGTCATGAATAAGTAAGTTTAAGACAGTCACGATTTACACAATGAAGGATGCCTATTATAAATAAATTCATTCATTCTTTTCGGCTTAGTCCCTTTATTAGTCTGGGGTCACCATAGCAGAATGAACCGGCAACTTATCCATCATATGTTTTACGCAGCGGATGACCTTCCAGTTACAACCCATTACTGGGAAACACCCATACACTTCCCTTCACACACATACACTATACGGACAATTTAGCTTACCCATTTCACTTATAGGGCATGTCTTTGGACTTGTGGGGGAAACCGGAGCACCCGGAGCAAACTCTACACAGAAATCCCAACTGACCCAGCCAAGGCTCGAACCAGCGACCTTCTTGCTGTGAGACAAGCGCTACCCTCTGCACCACCATGCTGCCAGTTGTTCAAATTGTGCTATGTTAATAATATTGTCATTGTCTTTTCATTGCCATTGATTTTGCCATTGATTTTTATAGCATTTTTACTATGTTAGTGGCAACACCTATTACCAACATTCTTCAAAATATCTCCTTTTGTGTTCAAGAGAACATAGAATGACACTTGCTGAACTATCTCTTAACCTACTTTAATGTTAAAACCCAAAAAGTGACAGTATAGCCTTAATAGATCTAAATAAATAAATAAATGAATGAATGAATGAATGAATAAATAAATAAATAAATAGAAAAGGTAGAAATATGGAGACAAATTGTTTCCACTTGACATTAATGTTTTGCTGCTACAAATTATGTTTAAGGTAAGATTTTAGTTAAGGTGAATTGTATCTGCTCATCTGAAATATACTATTATGTCATGAAATATACAGTGCTCGGTTTTTTTCCAATATAGACCATGCGTTAAATACAGCTTTATTTAGAGGGTCTTATGGGTATTTCTTCCTCCAATCATCTCTCTCTTTCTCCTGCTATAATGACAGCATACCAGTACAACCTGACTTATTTTTATAAGTACTAATTGGGTAGACAGCAACCCTATTAGGATGCACATCTCCTCGGGAAATCGATTTCTTGATCTGCGGAGACCGGTGTGAGTGAGCGCGCGCGCGTAATTGTGCGGAGGGCGGGAGCGCGCGACAGGCTTCCCGCGGGTGGAAGCGCCCTTTCCTCACAGAAATCGAACAAGTGAGAAACTGTTGCTTCTTGGTGATTTCTTAAGAAAGAGATTGGAACATACGAAATTTAAATAGTAATTTACTTACTAGCGAATCTTTTACAAGAGGTAGTAGTAGTTTCATAAAGATATTATACGCCTGAAGTAGGCGAGCTGAAAGTGAACTGTGTTAAAAAAGCGGGAAAGGCGGCGAAGAAGCAGCAAAAGGAGAAACCCGGAGATTTATCAAGCTGACAACAGTCAGAGCAAGAGTGACCGTTAAAGAAAAACCCGAAGGCGCGAGTTTCTCTGACAGACTCTGAGCTGAGCGCGCACGCGAGAGGAGCTGCGCTGTCGACCGGAGTTACTCATCAATTTTCACATTCTCTGGGAACTTATCAGGTAGGCACGATTGTTTTACTGTTCTGGTTTGTTGCTCAGACATGTTAGATAAACTTTTAATTAACTGTCTTAATGCATGTATTTTTTAACTGCTACCAGAACTGAGAAAAGTATATGAAACATCCATTTTGATGTAAAGAGCAGCTGTAAAGAGGCTAGAAAAGTTACAGTGCATGTATGATAGCAAATAGGCTAGTTTAATATTAGTTAAATGAGGAACTGTTATATACAATTTGTAGTTTTGGAGAGGTAAAGTATAAGCAAACTGTGATGATTAATTTAATAAATTCAGTAAATGAGTAATGTCGATTAAAATATATATTGCGTTTGAGTATTGGGGAAGAGAAATCTTTTTTTATTCTTTTATTTTATCTAATTTTTTATTTTTTGCTTATCACTAAAAAAATAAAAAATAACTCTTACTAAGCATTCAAATATCTGTTGCTCTTTATGTGTTGTAGGTTTTACAGTTTTGCCAATTTAAAAACTCAGTCAGTCACATGTCAAGATGCCAGAGGAGATTGATCTTGGGACCTGAAGTTTGATGAAGACCAGCAGGGATTGAAAATCACCTAGAGTGCTGTGTGAGCTTGCTTTAATATCATTGTGTATCTCGCCATCTATTTACCATCAGGGTTACAGGACGTTTACAAGCCAACTGCTTAAACCGAACGATTGAAGGTTTAAGACTGTCATGAAAGGAGAAAATTGTTTATAACGTGGATTGCTTTCCATCATTTTGAATCACAACCACAGCTTTCTTCTGTGAGAGGAGGGGCAGTTTGTTTAAATGCTGCAGTGGACATGGACTTTTCTGGAAATTTTCCTGAACGCTTCTTGAACTTCTCATGGAGGCTTAAGCCACACCGCTGTCTCTTCATTAATCTTTAGGGAGACGTCACCGTCGCACAGCAACCCCTGAGAAATACACCTCAACATCACCTGATAGAATCTCCATCCACGGGCGAAAATTTGGAGACCCCAAATCCCACATGTTGCTTATATCAGACAAGCAATATATATTTATATGACAATATAAACCCACTGGATCATCCAGAATTGCTGTTTATATGGAGCGATAACTGGGCGTCACTCACAAGAGCGAATAGGGGTTAGAGGGCTGCCTGTTGTGATTTAATGTAGTAAAGCAGAGCAAAAAAAAGAGAAATTGAACCTTTTAAAGCAAATGAAGCAACCTTTATTCCATGACGGATATCTACTTTGTTGCTGGAGTTGTTGCTGGATGGAAAAACAATTCTAAGATACAGCCAGCATTTTCTCACATTGTATTCTCTCGTTAAGAGTTTCTATTTCACCGTAGTCCTTTTTCCTTCCCAGAGATCATTCTGGCCGGGCCTGTTTCTTCTAAAGGAGAGGAGGACTTCCTCTCTATCGCTGCCTCACGCCTCAGCCGCAGGAAGCGCGTTATTGGCGCGGCAGTGGGTGTGGCCATGGTGCTGGTGCTACTGGTCACTATTCCACTATTGGTCCACAGCACCAAACTGGGTGGTTCTGGTGGTGGAGGTACACATTATGAAATGCTTGGCAGCTGCAAGATGGTCTGTGACTCTTTAACACCCACTAATGAACTAACGCCTGTTTCACCTCCTCCTCGCGACATCCCTGGACGCAAAGGAGGAGCCAAGTCTGGTTTTCGTGGAAACCAAGGCCTACCAGGTCCCCCCGGTCCACGTGGGCCACCTGGAGAACCAGGAAAACCAGGTCCACCTGGACCTCCAGGTCCAGGCCCTGGGGGATACATCCCATCCTTCTACAGCCCCAAAATAGCCTTCTATGCTGGTCTGCGCAAGCAACATGAGGGGACCGAGGTACTCAAGTTTGATGATGTGGTGACAAATGTTGGGAATTACTATGAGCCTACCACAGGCAAGTTCACCTGCCCTCTTCCTGGAATCTACTTCTTCACTTATCACGTGCTCATGAGGGGTGGAGATGGAACGAGCATGTGGGCCGACCTCAAGAAAAATGGACAGGTAGGAGATCTCTGTGTGTAAACAAAGGTCACGTTTACACTGCAGGTCCTGATGCCCAATTCCGATTTGTTGAGTATATCTGATTTATTTTCAGCCTGTCGTTTTACACATTCCTTTAATTTTGACTCATATCTGATTTATGTGTTAACAATTGCAATACAGTTTACGACATTGCACATGCATAAAGGTGGGTTCTAGCATCTGCGCCACACTAGTCACGATGGAAGAAATTATTTTGAGTCAGAGGGAAAGGACTGCCATTGCAGCTTGTGCCTATGGTTTATATATGGTGTCCTCCACCATTCAGAGGAATTTGTGGGTACGGGAGAGATCTCAAGTCTGGTGGGAGCAAATTCTTGTGGGCATTGATGAGAAGCAGTGGGTCTGAAATTTTAGGTCAAGCACATACACACTCTTCCTTCTACTTTATTAAACCGTCAAGAAATACCACATTGTCGCAAGTTTATTGACGTACAAAATGGAATGCCTCAATAAATTTGATCTGCCTGTTTACATGATAGTCGCATTGTCACAAATCCGATTTATATTTGATTTATTTTCGCATATCAGGGAGGCCTGAAACCAATCTCTGAATATCCGAATCCAAATTTCCGTCTTTACATGGTCATAGAACAGATCCGATCTGTGTCACAAAATCGGAATTGGGTCGCATTGCAAACGGGGCCAAAAAGACTCTTAGAGGAAGGAACTGAGAATGTTTTTAAATTCCATTTGGCAAAATTCCATTTTAAATTCCGAGTTACAAACATGCTGCTGAAAAGCAAATTTGCATTTGCTGAAGGGGTTTGTTTTGCGATATCATCTGGATGGATGTGCATTATTCCACTTATTGCATGACTACTTACTACTTAAATAATTGGAGGCAAAATATTTAATTGAGTTGAAGTATTTTAGAATCTCACTGAATGTAGCTGCTAACAATTAGCAAGAAAAAACTAAATGCACATTAAAGGCATTGGAGAAATTACACTGCTTTTCATCATATAAAACACAAATCTTTCATAAAAACTCCAACTTATATGACGGTGTAGGTTGTTTGTGTCTTTCCTGAAATACAGTACCACGCAAAGGAGTGATTAATAAAAAAACTACCATGATTTAGACACAATTCAATTAGTGTAACAATGTGGGATTCATGTACTTTGATTGGTAGAACATCGCAGTACAATAGTGCAACAGGTTTAGTCACAGATTCGATCAAAGAAAACACAGACATTGGTAAAATGTGAGCCCTGATGACCCTAATGACCCATGTTGCCCAGCTGAGCCTGATATATAAGTGTTTGCTGGTTATTATCAGGGAATAGCACAATTTAGGATGTTGTAACTGACCTATCAGAATCAGGTATTCCAAAGAGCAATGTACATGAATTTAAAATAAAATACTTCATGTAGTTTTTATATAATTAAGTGAAAGCTAGTGTAAAGGGAGTTTGGGAAGACTTCCACATTTAGCATCTGAATCATTTTTTGATTCACCGTTTGCTAAGTTTTTAGAGGTACTTTACATAGACAAAGGTCAGACATGAATGAAGTGTATTAAAAACAAGCATCTGATTTGATGGTAATTGCAAACAAATATTAGATTTGCCAAGGCAGGATTAAGGAATACATTTAGCATTCAAATAGGATCCAGTAAGACAGCTCCTGAATTATTCAGCAGTCATTTTCTCAGCCTATCACTCTAAATCTTGCTGAAGATGTTTGCCAATAAGAAAATACATTTAAAATAAATAAAAAGACAAAGAGGACTTAAAAGGTATAACAAAGAGTATATAATTTCAAAGCATATCAGAATGAGTTAAATCTGACATGTTCCTGAATTAAAGCAGTCTATTCGACAAATGTCACCAATCACAAATAGCTATAGGTAACAGCACCTCGATGGAAAAGGACAATTGTACATCACACAAACAAGCAAATGCTCTCTCTTTGTGTCTCTCTGGAGTGGAACGAAATGCAACAGCTGGAGACAGTCCTCACAGGACCCGTGGATTTAGAATAAATGAAAAAGTAAGGAGAGAAAAAACCTCTCCATCTGGTGAAACATGACACGGATCTGGGATTCAGGCGCTCTCAACTCAACCGCTCAGTTTTGATTTTTAGTAGTGGAACAAAAAGCGGGGATTATTCAAAGAGATATAAAAATTCCCCTGGCAACATATGTTTACATACACACTGTCTCCATCTTTTCATGCACACATACAAGGTTTTCTGGAACTTTTAGCTCTTTGTGACAGACACATATGACAGCAAGTGATGAAAACCCTTTAATGAGTCTGGAGCAACCTGTCAGCTTCCCTTCATCACACTGTCATTAACATGACATAGAACCTGAATTAATGCCCTTTGCCTGTTTATCATACATAATCCAGAACAAAAGATAAATGATTAGTGAATCCACAGATTTGTGGTCAGATGAGTGCATCTGTAAAATACTAGAGGTTCAAATGTTATTTTCAACAGCATATGAAACTACATAGCTATGGTTATTGATTCAAATGCTCAAGCTCTGCATGCAAAGGTAATCTCAGTGGATTCACATTTTGAGCCAATGAATTCATCAAAAAAGCGAGAGGAAAAATGGTGATGATCAATATAGAATCTAAAGCAAAACAATACAGTAATAATAATAACATCATGAATAAATATAATAAAGGGGCGACACGGTGGCTCAGTGGTTAGCACTGTTGTCTTACAGCTAGAAGGTCGCTGGTCGCTAGATTTCTGTGATTGAGTTTGCATGTTCCCGCGTTACATCCGTGTTTGCATGGGTTTCCTCTGGGTGCTCCGGTTGCCCCCACAGTCCAAAGACATGCGGTATAGGTGAATTGAATAAGCTAACTTGGCTGTAGTGTATGTGTGAATGAGTGTATGGATGTGTCCCAGTACTGGGTTGCAGCTGGAAGGGCACCTGCTGTGTCAAACATATGCAGGATAAGTTGCCGGTTCATTCGTCGTGGCGACTTCTGATAAATAAAGTGACTAAGCCGAAGGAAAATGAATATTATAAAATTATTATATTAATATTGTGACAGATCATTTATGTTTTTTCATGACAAAAGTGTAAACAGACAAAAACATCATGGAATCATTCTGATGGTGGTCTTAAATTCAGGTACAGATACAGTACAGCTCAAATACAGATTAGATGTTTTGCAATGCCACTCTAAGCTTTTGCATATATTACATTTTACATATATATATATATATATATATATATATATATATATATATATACTGTATATGACAGTTGCGCACTTGCACTGCGCAGTTGAATAAGTGAGTTATTATACAGCTCAAATACAGATTAGATGTTTTGCAATGCCACTCTAAGCTTTTGCATATATTACATTTTACATATATATATATATATATATGACAGTTGCGCACTTGCACTGCGCAGTTGAATAAGTGAGTTATTTATGTGACAGCTCTATACAACCTAAACCTAAAGGGTTGTACAATAAATATTAACAATATTGAAAGTAAACAAATGCTTACGGTGTTTAGTTTTAAAATGACAGCATGCTGTATGTTATAAACTGTTATTATTATAACTTTTATTAATATTCTCAATTTAATTATACTATTCCATTAATATTAAATTAATAATTATGAGTGTACCTCACACAGGTGAGTGGGCGTAGTGTAGAAAACACAATCTTATATCTCTTTGACACTTCAACCAACACTTGCAACAGTTTTTTGGACATTTGCATCAGACACATTTTTCAATCACTCCATATTTTTAAAAAAATAATTAAATAATAATAATAAACTTTGTGCATTTGTGAAGTGTACTTTACACAGGTGAGTGGACTTGACAGACCACTTTTATAATCTCTCTCTCTTTCTCAAAAAACTCCCCCCTCCCCCTACTCTGGTACTAAATTCTCTGAGCACAAACAGTTTCTTTTCATAATTAGCACTTCTTGTGTATTGCATCTTCATATAGAATTGCAGAATGCTTCCTCAATTGTATGTCACTTTGAACAAATGCGTCTGCTAAATGACTAAATGTAAATGTGTTCGTGTTATCATTGATTTGTGAATGCGGATCAGTTCATGACTAGAATCAGTTCACACATGAATGTGAAACAGGCCACATTTAAAATTATGAACAGCCCCAAAACATTCAGATCTGAGCAATAAGTAGGCAAGCACTTACTCTTGCAGAGAGAACCATTGCTACCCACACTAAAATGTAATATTACTGTATATATAATAGCTCATGTGCTGTGGGCCATAAACCAGACTGCTCTGGTATTCAACATATCTTCCATTAAGTGGAGAACGAGATGGAGAAAGTGAGAAGATGAGGAGAGTAAGCTTAGGCAGTGTATGGCATGCTGTATTGCATAGATTGTCATTCCAGTGATCTCCTCTTGTGTTAAATCATTCATGTCTTTAAGATGAGATTCCCTCTTTTCCACCTGGGCCACACACAAACACACACACAGAGCCACACTCTGCCAAATGTCTATCTCTGCCCTCGTTAATTATCTCTCCCCTTAGCTAAATTATTTAGCCCATCTCAAGGTCCTCTCAAAGCATTCTCACAAACAAACACACCACCACACCAACATGAGTTTTGGATTATTCTTAAAGAGATAGTTCACTCAAAAAATGAAATTCGGTCATCTTTTATTTTTTTAACTTTTTGTGTGAGCCCTAAAACTTTTTACCACACCTTCCAGTGCCCTGTGACTGAAGAAAATGTGCCAGACTTAAATATCTTAAAATATCAGCTCACAACTCACAGGAAAATGCTACTTTTTAGTTTTCGGCAAATTAGTAAAGGAAAGGAAAAGCTATCATATGTGGCCAAGTATGATGTGTCCTACACTCTGAATTTATGCTCTGCATTTAACATCGTGAACACACTGCTAGCTTAGTGGGAAAATGATTTTAGGGGGTTCATTGCTTTGTTCAAGTGTCTCACATGAGTCTTTGTATTTAGGATGGAAGAGGGCACT